TAGGTGTCCAGTACTCTGGAGGTAGGCGAGCAGCAGCTTCTGCAGCACGAACTTCCTCTTCAAACTTAGGCACACTTGGGATTCCCAATCGATAGATTGCTGCCATCTGTATTTTTTTTACTGTATTTAAGCGTTATTATTGACAAGAAATATTTCCTGTCATTTCCATGGTACTGAAGCCAAAACTGAAGTGATAAAATTTGTGGCAAAGCCGCAATATTCAAAGAAAGTTGTGCTAGCCTAAGCAAAGTTTAGAGGGATGGAAATTAGGGTTTTCAACACAAACCAACCTCAGGTTTACGTGGCCCAAATTCATAAATGCCCTATATGCTACAACAAGTCTCTCTCTCATTCATGATTACTCTTGAGCACGAAAGAAATTTCTGGACAAAAACATATGAAAAGGAGAGATTTGCAATGACAAAAAGAGATCATGGTTATTGGCAGATTGAAGATTGAACGTAAATTTGATTAGAGAAATGACATGATAAAAGTTGAAAACTATGTTTAAAAAGTACCCTCTCGCCGGTACGGGTCTTCGCTCCAGCATATGTGTAGATGTATGCAACATCTCTCTCGGGAAAAACAATGATCTTTTGAATCTATAAGAAGACTGTAGGAAAATGCGTTATAAACAATTCGAACATGGTGCATACCTGACCAGTAGGTAATACGTGACTAACGAATTCACTCCATGTTATAGGTTCTGTGCCAACCGGCCCTTCAGGTTTTGGGCTGGAAGTTGCGTGACTGGGGAATAACATTGAGTCAACGTTTAAAAAAATAAATAAACGAAAAAAAAAACATTATCTTACGCAAGCATATAGAGAATTCCGTAGGCAAAAAGAGAAATTGCAAAAAATTTTCTGAGTTTTGCAGCAAACTCATTTCTCGGATCCCCATCATTCTTGCCTTCTTCGCCAGAATCGCTCCGGCCGTCTAAGATGAAAAACGCCAATAAAACAAGTATTTTGAAGTGGTACGAGGATTATCATCAAACCAGGACGATAAGAAGGGAATGGCGGACGATGATGGCCAGACCTTTGTGAACGGTCTTTGGAGGAGTCCTTCCTCTGCTTCACAGTATGATCGGGTGGACGAACTGATCGAGCTAAAGATAAATTTTTGAGAGAAGTAAATTTTAACGAGCATGTTAGTTGATATGGCCCACTCAACAGATTGTAGATTATAGGATTACCTAGCTGTTTATCTATGGCTACAGCCACCTTGAAAATGGCATTGGCGCAAGGTATTGCAGAGCTCGCAGCGTATATATTTTTTGCTTCATTTTTGAAGATAGGTAGTTCCAAATCCTCACATGACTGATCTTCATCAAGAAATGACAACTTTTTATTTCAGTTAAACATAAAAAAGGCCAAGAGAAACATCGAAATGTCGCGCGTTGCGTATAGGCAGCTTCAGTTCCATGTCAAACGGTTTAAAAGCATCAGAAA